CCCCAAAACCCCAAAACCCCAAAACCCCAAGTGTAAAGTTGAGTATAATAATCGTTTAAATTTGGCAATTGATTTAAATTTAAAATACTCAAATTTTAATGGAGAGGTAGCCGAGAGATTATAAAAGTAATCTAAACTAATTCAACAAAAATGTGAATGCCTAACACGACAAGAAAAGAACTTATTCAGAAATATAATAGATGGATGATAGTTCCAGTGAAATTGATGATGATATGCTGAAACTACTATCAGACTCTTTAGACGATTAACCTCGATAATCTGAAATCATTAAAAATAAAGAAAAAAATTAATAATTCCAAATTTAATAAATAGAAGACTAAAGCTCAAGCAAAAAATGAAAGCTTAATATGATGGCAGATCTTTTATATGAGGAAATTGAGGTATCCCCAATCGATTCTTACTTCCAATAACCTTAAAAAGCCATGAATAATGCAAAGCCAGTCGATACTTATCAGGTAGTAAGTCAAACTCAAAAACAAAATTAAATTTAAGGATCTAATAAAAAACCCATTAAATCGGCATTTCAATTTATATCATCTGGAAAGAAGGATAAAAAGTGAGTTGACTTTGATGTTATTGATAATTTATAAGACAATGATGAACTAGACGATGGACCTCTAATACTACCAGATAAATAGTTCTAGGATCTAAGTAAGAGCAGGGAAAAATAATTGGCATTGATCTCTCAAGATAATCAAAAAGGTGTGATAGATAAAAACAGTGATTTATCGAATCATAATTTGATTTAAAATAAGAAGAGCAAAGTAAATAAAGTACTTTAGCTACTTCGAGAAATGAAAAGCAAGCCTAGATATAAAGATAAATATGGAAACAATGTTAAATAGCATTTTGGAATATACAAGTACTTCATTAATACATAAACTCAAGAAAAAGAAAAATTTTATATATCAAATGAATGCAGAAAAATTCCCGCAAATATTGCTATGAAGGTTCAATAAAAAGAACAAGAGAACATAAATTATAATAGGAATCATTATTATGAAAAGATATAAAGAATAGGTAAAGTAGTAAAAGATAAAGTAAGATTAGAGTATTGGGGATTACCCCCTGGAATTTGTGACTAGTTTTATAAACATACTAAGATCGGAAAACTTTTTGATTGGTAAGCTGAATGCTTGAGTAAGTCTCCTGAGGTTATAAAAGGAATGAAAAATCTTATTTATTTTGCTCCAACTAGCGGTAAGTCTAATTTAGTCATATTATAAATAACCATACTCTAGGAGGGAAAAGTGTCGTTGCAGAGCTCTTAATGCTTAGATAAATTCTGGGGTTCAAAAGAAGAGCCATGTATGTTTTGCCTTTTGTTAGTATAGTAACAGAAAAATAATAATACTTGAGCTAGTTATGCGAGAATATCAATCTTAAGATTATTGCACTTCACTCTCAAAGTAAATATATCATCTAGTAATAAAGGTAGGTGAAAATGTGTGGTCTGCAGGAGTAGATATAGCAATATGTACAATAGAGAAAGCCAATAGCCTGCTTAATAGAGTTATAGAAGAGAGAACTTATTTTGATATAAGCTTTTTCATTATAGATGAATTTCATTTGGTATAAATATTGAAATTGAACTATTATAGATTTTAGACGAAGGCAGAGGCTATCAATTAGAGTCCTTAATAGCAAAGTTGAGATCAGTTGAAGTTATAATGCAAAAACCGAGTTCTTTCCAGATTATAGGGATGTCTGCAACATTATCTGGACTAGAATATCTAAATAAATGGTTTGGTGGTAATTGTGAAATATATGAATGCTAGTTCAGACCTGTTCCACTATCAGAATATCTTTTTATCGGAAATAAAATTTACAACAAAGACATGAATGTAAATATCTTAATTACCCATTAATAACATTTGCCTGTTTTAGTTGATTATTGATTTTTCTTCATTACCTAGGATCTAGATGGATAACAGTAACATGAATATCAAAGGATAACCCTCAATGGACAATGATTTTGTAATATACTAATATTTTAACATTGATCAGTTACCATTACTACTTGCAAGCTATATGAGAAAGAGAAAAGCAGCTTTGATATTTTGCCCAAGCAAAAATATGTGTGAGACGTATGCCAAAAAGTTAGCTTTTATTTTGCCTGCTCAGTACCCTGAATATGAATCATAAAGAAATCTAAACTATGATGATATTGAGAATGAAATTAAGTCAATAATAGCTTATCTCTAATCCTAGAAAAAGAGAAATCTAGTCTTCTACGATAAGCAGTAGATATATGATCGAGATCTTTAAGCCAAAAGATTAAGAATCCTAACTGAACTTTAATAATGCCCTAGTGGTGTGTGCAGTATACTTAAAGAGACTATCAAGTATGGTATTGCATACCATCATTCAGGTTTAACATCTGAAGAAAGGGAGGCTATTGAAAAAGTAAATATCTAAACTTTATATATATAATTAGGGGTATAGAACTGGGGCACTATTTCTTTTAGTAGCTACTTCCACTTTAAGCACTGGAATAAATTTACCTGCAAAGGTAGTTATATTTAAAGGACCATATATCGCAAGGACTCCAATTGATGCAGCTAAATATAAATAAATGAGTGGTAGAGCTGGAAGAACTGGATTTGATTCTAAAGGAGATTCTATTATGATTTGCAACAATAGCGAGAAAGATTATGTTATTGTAAGTATGCTTTTTTTTCATTTAATATAAGGACTTGATGAAGCCTTTTAAGTGTGAGTTGAAAAGTGCTCTTACTGGGTAGAGATTGATGAGGTCAATCCTTGAAATAATTGCTAGCAATGTTGTTTAGTCTTTTGTATAAATCAGGATATTTGTGGAATCTACTTTAAAGAATACACTATGTAAAAAGGTCTGGTGCAACGGGTGCATCGATTAATTTCAGATGAATGAGATTCTATTTGGAGCAAGAGATACAGATGATTTTGAAGAAAAACATAGAATTTATAACCAGTATGACCTATACCTATAAAACTTTTGCTTGCAAAGATTCAGTAAGTAACTAATAGTATATTTTTATTTGAAAATAGAAACTGAAATTCAAGACGACGACTGCAGGAACTGTCTCTTAGAATTTGCGAAATAAGTTGTTGCATATTTGAATAAGTTTAAATTTCTAACATATAACAATGAAGATGGCTCAGTTCTGCCAACATTACTTGGTAAAGCAGCTTTTGCTTCATCAATTCCACCTGAACATGGGTAGAAAATTTTTGAGGATCTAGCTGAAGCTAGAGGCAGCTTAGTATTAGAAACTGATTTACATTTGCTTTACCTCATAACGCCCCATTTTAAGCACATAAGAGAGCCTAATTGGGATGCATTTATTAAGAGATTCAATAAATTAACTAAAGGGGAAAAAAATGTTGCTGAATTTTATGGAATAGATATACAATATCTATATAAAGCAACTGTATATCCTCCTAAGATTCCATCTTGTCTGTAGGATTAAAGTCAGTCTATAGGAGCAAGCAATTCTTTAAGTAAAATGCCCTCAAGCACTGTCTAGGATTCTAAATCATCCAAAGGCATTAAATAGACAACTTTAACTCAAAGTTCTTCAAATACTAGTGGTATAATATCTATGGTAGACTCTATGAATGATTCAGCTTTGCATATTCCATTATTAAGTTAAATGGAGCAACTGATTTAAATCTAAAGTCTGAGTGATGAAGAGTAAAAACTAATTCGATATTGTAAATTTTATATGGCTCTTGTTATGAATGAGATCCTTAAGGAAACACCATAGAGTAAATATTTTTAGTCCATAATCATTATTAGATGAGATATGCAAGACTTTTAACATAAAAAGGGGTGATATTTAGACTCTACAAGCCTTAGCAGTAAATTATTCAGGTATGCTATCTGCATTTTGTGAGAGACTTTTCTGGTCTGATTACTCCGTCCTACTGTTGAGAATCAATGAGAAGATCAATTGGTGTGTGAAAGAAGAACTACTAGACCTAATGCAATGTCCATCTTTGAGACCTGAGAGAGCTAGAGCATTATATAATGCAGGCTATACTCTAGTAGAAGAAGTGGCTAAAGAAGCATCAGTTGATGGTATGGTGAAAATATTTGATAAAAACGATGGATTTATGAGTCATAGGAAATCTAATACTGATGATTTAAAGTTGAAATATGATTATTACTACACTCTAGCTCATAAAGTTCTTTGCGAAGCTAAAATGATAATGGTGAAAAGGAAGGTTGATCCTGATAGAACTATGATATCTTACATGCAATAAGGTTAGGGAATGAATCTAGATCAGAAGTATGTTATCGACTCAGACTATAGTAGTGATGAAGGAGAGAAATTAGATGAGATGTAGAAGCTTAGTGGTGATTAGCTTATAAATCATAATTTGCTTAAAGATCTAGAGTAATCATTTCATACTTTGAATTCGAGTGAACTAGATTTAATAGATTTAGACTCAGATGATTTAAGTGATTTTGGCAGTGAAGATTTAAATAGTAAAGATAAAATTGGAATTATAGGAGATTAATTGGTCCAAGTTGTTGTAGTAAAAAATGAAGATGATTTAATTGATGATGACCTTGAACTTATTATATAAAATGATTTCAATAATGTAGTTGAAGACGAGTAACATTAAAATTGTGCTATTGAAGTTAAAAATTAGAATAAAGATTAGAATTTTCAAATTATTAAAAAAGAGGTCAACAACTAACAGAAATAAGTTAGAGATAGCCTAACAGCTATATTAGAAATGGAGCTGAGTAGCACTAGTGATTTTGATGAGGATGTATTAGATCAAATGCTTAATAATAATGAAAGTTAAGTACCTTAAATATAGCTTAATAATCATGATAAAAACAGTGAAATTAAAAATTAATTGAAATAGAACAAATTTACTACAAAATAGGAAGAAATTAGATAATCAGATGAAAGTGACAGTCCAGATTATTAACAATTATTTGAGTAACTCTCAGATTGAGTTGATTTACATTTAGTAGTAATAGAGTTTACATTAGAATGATTTATTAAATACTTTATTAATTATTGACCATGTTCAAAAAGCTTCAATATTCAGTAGTTCGGGGTTTTGGGGTTTTGGGGTTTTGGGG